TGCAAAACAACAACGTGAAATCGCCAAAATTTGCGTCGTCTGTGAGCCGAAACCACGACGGCAAATATTTTAATTTCCAGTTGGAACTCAACGCTACTTTTAGACGTCATACTGAAGTTGAGCTGTGGCGCCGTATGAGACAATAAGCTCATGCAGCTATTTTTGAAATTCTAACTAAGAGTAGAAATTCGTTTTTCAAGTCTTCCTTGGCGTTGCCGTCCAGACTGCTTAAGGTTCCTTTTAAGCAAAGTAGAACGTCGCTAACGCGAAATGCCAAGACAAACTAAAACACATCGAGTTGTTCGCTGAAAGGAAATGTTCTTCAAGGGGCCAAAAATGTTTTAATATTGAAGTTCAGCATTCGAGGGCGAGCTGTTTTCAAGCATTACCATATTTGCAGCTTTCTTTTGCATTGTACAAAGCTAGGGCCAATTAGAAATGAACTACTACAGATTATCCTATTTCGAACAAAACTTAGCGAAGAAATTTTCGATGGCTTTCGGTGCGCCTGTTTAATTTTGAGAAACTCATTGAATTACAAATAATGTAGAACATTAATATTCATGTTTGCGAGCCCTCCTAGCTTGCACGTGGAAAGAACTTGCAAGCTTCCAGAAATTTCAACGTCCCGACAGCTTTTATGGGGCCAGGTAATACACCATTCTAACGTTATTATCTTGGATATCACTCTTCCTTTCATGGCTGGTATGTGCTTCTTCGAGGCTGACGAATTGAGTGTTTCCACTCGAGGATAAATGGCTGTCATTTTGTCACAAATCTTCTAAAGGTAGTTAACTTACGTACAAATACATTTTTGATAGACTGAATGTAGTGTAAGTGTCCATCACTGCTGGGTTCTGCTCCTGAACGAACAGAGTTTCATGTATAAAGGAAAGAAAAGAAACGCACTTCACATTGTAATACAAATCGTCGTTGTTGGCAGCAGCCATGACAGTTTTTCAAATCACGTGACTTCAAGTGCACCAACGAGAAATTCGTACTTTACTTTTACTGTGTTAATCGCATAATTACTCTCTCATCTCCTTTGCTTCAGAACTTATGCAAATATTTTATACAAGTATGCATGCTCACAGTGTCTTACTGCCAGCCCCCTGCCAGGTTAAAAAGGTAACCTTGGAAACGTTTTAAACACGAAGGCGCGCTAGAAAAGGAGCCTTAGGTCCCACTGGACCATTTGTCAATCAACCGTCGTGTGATGTAGAACTCTTAGAGCCAAGTCAGCTTGAACTACAGCTACTCCATAGTAGTGAACAGCGGGCGCATTCCTCAAACTTGTTTTATGTCTTCATCACAATACAATAATTTTTGAGATTTGTATTTCGTTTCTCCAATGGAAATTGTCTTTATTTATGGCGATAAATTTGAGATCGAAGTGGGTGGTTCGCACGTTACCTCATGCCACCATGCTGGTGGAACTAGACAATAGATATCTTATTAGCTCCTTTTGTTCCTCTACTAGCATTTAAATTTGACCCGCACACGTCAACGGTGAGTGACAAATGAGCCTAGGTCTTCCCTGGGAAGACTTCCTTAGATAGCGCGCCTTCGTGTTTAACGTAAACCCCTATTGGAACGATTCCCGTACAACGTCAGAACGTTCTAAAACAATGCCGTGGTTCTGTAGGCAATTTAGTGTTTTTCATTATACACCATCAAGTTTGATGTTGCGCAGAAATCTTACCCTCTTTTTTTAATATCAAAGGCTAGCCAGGCAAGGTAAACTGGGCAATCCCTGATTTTTTTTTTTTATTTTTTGTCTTAGAGCATTCAGCAAGTTATTGCACTGAAATCTCTGGTTATTTTTGTTCGAAAAAGATGTAAATTGTCAAAAATAAAATGAGGTGGCTCTGTTTGAGTTGTTCGGTGGAGATATTGATTTTTTTAGTACAAGTAAAATCTTACTTTCCTTAGTACAGGTGAGCTATGTATGTACTCACATTACATTTTGTTCTATCCAGAGTCAAGCATACACAGATAAAGTCTTGAAATCAAGAAATTCAAGGATGGGAAGAAAAAAAAAGATACTACTAACAAGGTCAGTTACTTCCTTTTTTAGCGAATTGAACTACGGGCACTTTTCTTAAGAATAAACTGGTAAGTGTAGGAAAGTGTGAAAGTTCACAATGCGTGAACATTGATATTTCTCAAATTGCCACTAGAATTCTTGTTTAACAAAGATTTAGTAATACATAGACATGTAAAAACGAACGTTTCGGCGACTTCATGACGCCATTATCAAGGGTACGAATGAAAACAAAATAACAAATGCGAGTTCAAGAGTTACAACTAATTTGCATAGGGGAGGTAGCTACACAAATACTTTAGCACGGATAGTATCCGTTGACAACCGGTACAAACGAAACTTATTAACAACTATGCTCGATCGCGCGTAC